AACTTTAAAAGAAAACTTAGCAAGACAGGGCACAAATAACAACATTGCCTTCTTCAATTCTGGCTGTTCACTTTCAAAAAAACATTCTTTTAACATTTATTCTTTAATACAAACTGCTGTGAGCTGAGTGAAACTCTTTAAACTTTGCTGCTTTGTTGTAACTTTGTCGGGACTGTGAGTTTTTGTTGTAATTTTGTCGGGACTGTGAGTGGTTGTTGTAATTTTGTCGGGACTGTGAGTGGTTGTTGTCAGGATGGCGTCCCAATTTACCTCGGCAATGGAGGCAACACCTTGACGCGGTGCCAAGGCTTCTTGTACCAAGTTTGTCTCCGGGAAATTCCTGCTTGTTAAATTAATGACTTTCACACTTCCCATAATGCCTAGTAAAGATCACGGATATGACGTATTTCAAACCCCCTCCCCCTTCCTTGATGTAATATTTCCAACACGTTCTATCGAAAAAGTGGTCAACTGTATTGTTTTGAATTATCTAGTATAAAGCACATGCCATAATTGCATTTTTATTGGAATTAGGGAAAATGACGTACCTATGATGATAATGATGACGTACCTTCTATCGTTCCATCTTCTACCGAAGACTCTCCTACTCGCACGGTCGCATTACGTATATCCGCTTCTTACGTCATATCCGTGATCTTTACTAGGCATTATGGGAAGTGTGAAAGTCATTGATTAAAGTAAAACTGAATGTCTCTGTGCTCCTGTTTTGAGTGAACACATTGCGGCAAAGAGGATATTGAAGACGAATCCCACTTTCTGATGTCGTGTCCAGCATATGAACAGAAGAAAACGACAAAAGTTGATGCATTCCATTGCTTCGAAAACATTACCCCATTCAAATCCAGATATCTTCAATGTGCTCCTGCCATGCCCTACTCAGGTATCAGTGTACCGTAGTAGGAGAATTTAATTCATATCCGATTCGCTACAAAAACGACACCGTATGTAAATAGCTGCCACATCTCCTGAATCATAGACTGTAATATAATACCCTCCTAGATAATTATAAAGATTTGGTAGCATTGAAACTGAGTAAAGTTAGTATAGCTATGAATTAACTGTTAGAATTGTATTTTAGCATAGTTCGTGTATGTACCCTTGTTGTTTATTCTCTGCCTACATTAGCTAATGGACACAATGCTGCATTGCCACCGTATGATCTGCTTGGAGATATCAATACATTGTACCAGTTACAGTTGTTGAACAATAAAGTTGATGTTATATCATGAAAGTTCATCTGTGTTTGGTAGTTACATGTTTAGAGTTTAAACTTAAATAGATCCAACATAAAAAGGTCTCTCACCTAGAGCTTTCGAGCAGTCACTCTGGTCTTCCTGATCCTTCCTCAGTAGACTGACCCAGTGTTGACGTCACATTTGAAAGAAACCACGTGACAAGCCTCACTGAGTCAGTCTACTGAGGAAGACCAGAGTGACTGCTCGAAAGCTCTAGGTGAGAGAACTTTTGTATTGTGTGAAAGTCCCTGTTAAGGAAAGTCCTTTGCTTCCTAGTTGTCACAGTTTTTTCCATATATAAATGCAGTGGCTTGATTTAAAGTTCAAAATTCATTGTTTGAATATTAACCAAGCCTTTTGTGTTAACTTAATGGATATCAGCAAATGAGGATACCTAGAACTATTTCCATTTATTTTTCGTTCTGTCGCTTCATCCGAGAAGCAATAAATTAAATTGGTTTGGCCTTAAGATTGCATTACTGTAGCCTGGGTACCATCCTATTTGTATTCTCCGACTTCCCCAGAAGAGAAATCGGCCAAATAGAGAGGAAACAGTATGCCAAGGGAGTTTGGTCGGCTGGAGAAAACGCTTTAGGAGCGGCAAAATGTTTTCTCCAGCCGACCAAACTCCCTTGGCATAGAGTTTCCTCTCTATTTGGCCGATTTCTACTCTTTCCAACCGCCTCCCGTCCTTGGTTTCACCGACGTCAGGGCGCTTCGCAGTCAAGAGAGCGCCCATTTCCAACTCTAACCCTATTATCATATTCTAGCCATAGCGATAACCAAAACATGGGACGGCGAAACATAACAGGAAATGTTGCTATGAGTGACTTAATTTAGTATTTTGTACATTTAGTTTCTTAACTTCTCATCAGGCAAAAAACACGCAGCCTGTGAGGTCTTGTCTTCTCATCAGGCATAAAACACGCAGCCTATGAGATCTTGTCTTCTCATCAGGCATAAAACACGCAGCCTGTGAGGTCTTGTCTTCTCATCAGGCATAAAACATGCAGGCTATGAGGCCTTCCTTGACCATCCTACGGTCTCACAGCGCCATAGCGATATTAGCCAGAACTGCAACATGTACCGTTGGTGCGGTCACAGAGTTAGGCAAAACTTTAGGGAGACCGTTAAGGCGGTCACAGAGTTAGGCACAAAACTTTAGGGACACCGTTGGGGTGGTCACAGAGTTAGGCAAAACTTTAGGGACACCGTCGGGGCGATCACAGAGTTAGGCAGAACTTAAGCGAGACCGTTAAGGTGGTCACAGAGTTAGGCAAAGCTGTGAGACCGTAGGATTTCTGCACAGAACAATTTCTGCACCTTTTTCTAGTATTGTGTAGCACTACTTTGTACCCGTACGGGGTTCGCCCATGAATACTGTGTTGTGCGGTCGGAACCATTTAAATCTCACGAACATGCAAATGAGGTAATTTGTACCATTTAAATCTCACGAACATGCAAATGAGATAATTTTTATGAAGATCACGCCGTGTGGCGCTACACATGTCCATAAAACGTGACTCAAATGCTAAGTTATATATTGTGAAGTTTCTTCCGGTTCTTAAGAAGCCAACACGACCAATTGTACCGGGCCGCCATGTTTGTTCACATGTTGAATATTAAACGTAGCGTGCCTTTCGTAGTAACATTCCCGAAACCTGACCGAAATTGCGGTTTCCTGTTATGATTTTTTGCTGAAATTGTATTGTTACGATTATCGCTATTGTTGTAATTAATAAATGTTAGAGTATGAAATAGTCGTTCCCTTGAGTGCAAAACGTCGAAACCTGGCCGATGGACATGTGTAGCAGTGGCCTCTAGCGATTTGTTCCAAACTGCAGGGTCACATTTACCTGTGGCTGACGTAACTATGACGTAACTGTAGTAGTACACAACTTACAGTACAAGTATCAAAGCGCAAATCTACGCCGACTGAACACGCACCATAATTCAACTTTTGCAGTCTCAAAACTGACGTATTCCTCTAACATTTACCACAGGTTCCATCTCGATGCCACGCACAGAACAATGTCTGCACCTTTCTCTAGTATTGTGCAGCACTACTTTGTACCCGTACGGGGTTCGCCCATGAATACTGTGTTGTGCGGTCAGAACCATTTGAGTCTCACGAACATGCAAATGAGGTAATTTGTACCATTTAAATTTCACGAACATGCAAATAAGATAATTTTTATGCAGATCACGCCGTGTGGCGCTACACATGTCCATAAAACGTGACTCAAACGCTAAGTTATATATTGTGTAGTTTCTTCCGGTTCTTAAGAAGCCACCACGACCAATTCTACCGTGTCGCGCACCAAACACAACCGGGCCGCCGTGTTTATTCACATGTTGAAGAGTATATGTAGCGTGTCTTTCGTAGTAACATTCCCGAAACCTGGCCGAAATTGCGGTTTCCTGTTATGGTTTACCCTCCCATGTTTTTAGCTGAAATTGTGTTGTTATGATTATGGCTTTTGTTAGAATTTATAATAGTTAGAGTATGAAATAGTCGTTCCCTTGAGTGCAAAACGTCCTGACGTCAACGAAACGTCAGGACGAAACCTGGCCGATGGACAGTGTAGCAGTGGCCCCTAGCGATTTGTCTCCGAACTGCAGGGTCACATTTACCTGTGGCTGACGTAACTATGACGTAACTGTAGTAGTACACAACTTACCGTACAAGAATCAAAGCGCAAATCTACGCCGACTGAACATGCACCTTAATTCAACTTTTACAGTCTCAAAACTGACGTATTCCTCTATCATTTACCACAGGTTCCATCTCGATGCCACGCACAGAACAATTTCTGCACCTTTCTCTAGTATTGTGCAGCACTACTTTGTACCCGTACGGGGTTCGCCCATGAATACTGTGTTGTGTGGTCAGAACCATTTAAGTCTCACGAACATGCAAATGAGGTAATTTGTACCATTTAAATCTCACAAACATGCAAATAAGATAATTTCTGTGAAGATCACGCCGTGTGGCGCTACACATGTCCATAAAACGTGACTCAAATGCTAAGTTATATATTGTGTAGTTTCTTCCGGTTCTTAAGAAGCCAACACGACCAATTCTATCGTGTCGCGCACCAAACACAACCGGGCCGCCATGTTTGTTCACATGTTGAATAGTAAAAGTAGCGTGTCTTTTGTAGCAACATTCCCGAAACCTGACCGAAATTGCCTGCGGTTTCCTGTTATGGTTTACCGTCCCATGTTTTTAGCTGAAATTGTGTTGTTATGATTATGGCTTTTGTTAGAATTAATTAGTGTTAGAGTATGTAATAGTCATGTACTTTTATATATAAGAATGGGGGGGGCGGTCACGAGAGGCGGAAGATTAAAGCTTTCTCCTAACGTGGAGAAGGACATTTCTGATCCGACTTTTTTCGCTATTCTAGCTATCCTGCACACAATCTACAATTCCCTATTATTAGTTTTTAATGAATGTGCCTAATTAGGCTAAAGAGCACTGCCTGTTGTCAGAATTGGGGGGGGGGACGGTCACGAGAGGCGGAAGATTAAAGCTTTCTCCTAACGTGGAAAAGGACATTTGTGATATGACTTTCTGGACTTTTCTAGCTATCCTGCACACAATCTACAATTCCCTATTATTAGTTTTTAATGAATGTGCTTAATTAGATGGGCTACTAAGACTGAACCGTACACCAGCGACATCTAGCGATTATCCTTCAAACCGCAGTTTCACGACTGCAATAGATACCTTCCCGCCATTCCGGTCAAAGGTTACATAAACACGGCAAGGGACGCTCCCAGACAGATCGGATGTCACCAAGTCGTTGGTAACAGAAAATTCGCAACGCCTTCTTCGGTCCCGTTAGATTCTTGAAGTCATCTTCTCCGTACAAGACGAGGAAAACCCCCCTTTAGGCTACGATCTGCACCGAGTGAACTTTTCTGGAAGAAACAGAAGCTCATTCCTCGCAAAGGAATCTTGAGAGAAGAAGAGAAGATGGCGGATTCAGGTTTTCCAGATACCCACACCACAACAGCCACCACCACAACGACCACCACAACTACCACTACTTCGTCACCCTTCTGCGACATCGGCTACTTCTTGACGCTTCCAGGCATCTTGAAGATTCTCCAACTCGTAAGTATTTTTCCATTCCTTGCGAAAAGTAACCTTTCTCGTGATCTTGAAGCTAGGGGATTCCTAGGGGCACGCCTACTCAAATTATACACAACATCTGCCTGCTGATTTTGCTACTGGAATTTAGCGTTTGTGAAACATGTGTCAACAACTCTAGGCAAATGTTTTATCCTTACTCGCTAGAAGGCGTTTAGAAAGCTTAAAGTCCGTGTAAAGCACGAATAAGACTCAAAACTAGTAGTGTGAAATCTTAACTCGAAGATCCGTTACTTTAGAGTTGGGCGGGGCCCGGTGTTGCTAGGTTTCGGTATTAATTGTATTTTAGGCATTATTTTACACATTTGCGGATATATAATATGTGGAAAATAGCCGTTGGAGTAGCGTATTCACTTTAGACGAATTTGTTTTGTGCCTGGCTTTCGTGCAAATGCAAATCAGATCACCCCTAGTCTTTTCTAAAGTCTAAAGCACTATAATCAAGGAGCTTTCATATAACTCATGTGCCAAGAATGTTGTGGCAGCCTTCTCAAAACAAGGTGGCAACAGGCAAAAATCACCGCCTACTCCAAATTTTTGCGCCGTCTACTTTCGCGTAAATTCATGGCTCGCCTGCTACTTTTTCGTTTCAGCCACCTACTTAAAATTCGTCTTGTACGCAGAAGGCTGTGTGGTAGAAAACAGCTAGAGTATAATTGCTATCTATGATACCAATTGTTCTTCAAAAATGTTTAGATGTCATCACTGAAACCAATGCCCCAGCCAAGGCCTCAGTAAAAAAAGGGTGGAATTGTACTACATGTAAATGTGGGTGTGGTGTCCTTCCTAGGGGCTAGTTTCAACTATTTGACATTCCTTATGCATGCTACAAGTCTTGGGCAACTTGGCTAGTGGCAACTACCCTAAATCTGCTAATTTTTGCTTCCCCTTGAAAAAAAATATGACAAATTAACAAAAAAGTACCATTCTGATTTGATAAATTATGCCAAAATTGCTATAAATTGATAAGCTCTAATTCCTATTCAAGTATTATTAGTAGTTTGGTTGTATATTGGTATCAACCTATCCCTCCCCTGGGAGTTGTAAAATGGTGTCTTCCAATCTGGTGGGCTTCACAAACTATCCCCAGTATGTCCTGTCCAAGCCAGGCCAGGGCCAGGCCCCCCCTGGAGTGATTAGCACTCGGATTCTGCAGCAAAAACATCTTTTGTAACCGAGCCGTTGTTGTGAAACCTTAGATGTTTGTCAATCACATTAGTGTCACCTTTCACCAAAATACTTGAAAAAAACTGCCTGATGTAAGAAAACAGAATGGTTTGTCCCAGATTCTTGGAAAGTGGAATTTGAGAGGTATGCCAGGACTGCAAAGGTCACGGCTGGTTATGCTTGATGAACGCCAGGCTGAATTTATGGTGACCCGTTTTTAATTGGGGTATAACAAAATCAAAAAGGAGTGAAAACTAGACAAGAGAGACAGGAGGTTTCTTTGGGGCCTTCACATCACAGATGGGACATTTGCACCATGTTTCAAATTTTATTCTTCTTAACACTTAACACTTGAAAATTCTTGTTGTGGTCAAACTTAAAATGTTTCTTCTGTTCGAAAAAGATTGTTGCACAGAAGCCCAAATGAAGGGGATGTTGTGGTTGAAAATTTGTTTGTCTAACACTTGTGGTAACTGACAGGTGTTTACCTTGTCAGTATATGTTTACATAACACAACTGGCTGCCTAAAAATGTGGCATATAATAGAATTGAAAATCTTTCTAAAAAGTAAATTAAAAAGATGAATTTGTATGGTTACAATTATTCGCTCAAGAGATTGGTAACTTGAAGACGTTTAAAGTAGTGCCACATGATAACATGGATATGAAGTGTTGGCCTTTTTCAACTGACCTGATATTTGTATACAGTATTCTGTATATACAATGTAAAGAAAGCTGTCTTGTATGTTATCACAGTTAAGGGAAGGGTACTTAGTACAATATTTTTCGCAGGTAAGATGGAACAGAATACAATCACGATAAAAGTAAAACATTTCCTGATATTTACGTCTTTTCTTTTGTAGTCTGTCAAAAAATAGTTGCAATTTAACAGGCTCAAAAATTCAGATGAATATTCACTTTAAGTTTTTCTGCTCATCTAAGGCCAGACCAATGTAGTTTGTTGTTTCCCAGATTTTTTTCAGAAATAATGTGAAGCGACAGGGTGAAATAAAAAAAAGAAACAGGCCAAGGCACCCTATGATAGCCAGAAATGTTACAATATGAGCCATGAAGTCAACATACCAGGGTGATTTATAATTAAAACAATAGATTTTGAACTTTTGAACTTGAACAAAATTGCATTGTTACATTGACAAATTTTAACAACTAGGAATAAAAGGTTCAACT